GGGGGGGGCGGACGCGGCTCTAGGGGGGGCAGCAGTGCCAGGCACTCACTGCCTCTCCCTGCCCTGCCAGCACTGGGCCCTGCGATGCCGTTTGGCTGTGTGACGCTGGGAGACAAGAAAGATTATAACCAGCCGTCCGAGGTGACTGACAGATATGACCTGGGCCAGGTCATCAAAACGTGAGTTGGTCCCTCCCCAACCCCACGGGTGCACCGGGGACCCCAACTGCCCACATGCCCCAGGCTGGGAGCGGCACGATGCTGCCAGTGGAGGCTTTTGGGGTGCTGGTGCCCAGCTGTGAAGGGCAGGGCACATTTCAGGGCGTTTGTCCCCTAATTAATCCCTCTTAGTGATGGGTGCGGGAGGTAATTCACCACTCTGAGGAGCCCAGCAAGGTTTCCTGGCGGCTCCCCATATCCCTTTCTCCTCCCAGCAAGATCTGCAGGGATTGCAGCAATTCCACACAATCCCGGCTCCTCCAGGAAGCAGGAGGGCTCTGCTCCAGCAAAGGAAAGAGCTGATGTCATTTGGGGGGAGCGGAGCGCTGCTGCTTCCCCCCAACTAGTATTGTCATGCTGGGAGGTAGCTGGTGGAAGCATTCCACAAAACGAAGCCCTGAGAGCCATCCAGAGAGGTTTGACCCCAAAACATGCATCAGAAATGTTATCACCAGCCTCTGAATCACCAGCACTGCTTGGCTGCGGGTCATGCCTGGTGGGGTGACATTGGGTGGTGGCAGGGACCTTTTCGGGTGCTCTCAGAGTTTTGCTCCATCCCCCAAGCAGCCAGCCCCAAAGCTGATGGGTCCCGGTTCCCCTGAACCCAGGGCAGCGGCCACAAGGATTCCAGCACAGCCACTGGGATCCGAAAGCCAAAGGCTTTGCCGGGGCAGTGCCAGGGGCTCCCTGGCAGCTCTGGCCTGGCCGATGGGCTCGAGCACCATCAATAATACAACAGAAATGTTGCAGCATCCCCGGGCAACTGGCGCGTCTCTCCTCCTTTTTTCCCAGCCGCAGTGCTCACGTAGATGTCGGGATGCACTGCCGCTCCCCCTTGGCACGGGGAGCCAGCTGCCGTGGGGAGGGGGCTTGGTTATTTCCAAATTTCCCCCTTTCCCTATCAATTTACTTATTGTCGATGCCTTCTCACAGCCGTTTTTTTCCCCCTCTGCTCTGGAGAGGTTTTTAGCTGCAGCTTTCTTCCCTCCCTGCGGCATCTCCCCTTGCTGCTGGATGGGAAGGGGATGGTGGTGGGCCTGGGGACCCCCTAAGCACCCCGAGCTGGGCAGTCCTCAGTGGGGTGATGGCTGCGGGTGCCCTTCCAGGGAGGAGTTCTGCGAAATCTTCCGGGCCAAGGAGAAGACAACGGGGAAGCTGTACACCTGCAAAAAGTTTCTGAAGCGGGATGGGCGCAAAGTACGGAAAGCAGCCAAAAACGAGATCATCATCCTCAAAATGTGAGTGCTGGGACCAAAGGGGGGGCTCCTGTTCTGCTGGGCAAAGCAGTAACCCCCACCCATGTCCCCTTCTCTCTGTAGGGTGAAGCACCCCAACATCCTGCAGCTGGTGGATGTCTACATCACCCGCAAGGAGTATTTCATCTTCCTGGAGCTGTAAGTTTGGGGGCACAGGGGCCTGGCTGGGGGTGCCCCCACTGGGGAGCAGGTCTCAGCAGAGCTGCTGTCGGCAGGGCCACCGGCCGGGAGGTCTTCGACTGGATCCTGGACCAGGGCTACTACTCGGAAAGGGACACCAGCAATGTCATCCGACAGGTGCTGGAGGCTGTCGCCTACCTGCACTCGCTCAAGATCGTCCACAGGAACCTCAAGGTGGGTGGCGGGGGGATGGGAGCACCCCTGGGTGCTGGCATGCACCCCAACCCAGTGCTCATGGCCCCTTTGCTGGCAGCTGGAGAACCTGGTGTACTACAACCGCCTGAAGAACTCCAAGATTGTCATCAGTGACTTCCACCTGGCCAAGCTGGAGAACGGGCTCATCAAGGAGCCCTGTGGCACCCCTGAGTACCTGGGTGGGTGAGAGCCAGCTAAGCGGGCACATGCGGGTGGGTGGCACTGCCAGGGTCCCAGCAGGTCCCTGCTGTTCCTCATCACCCCAGGGACCAGTCCTGGAGACTCCCATCAGGTTCCTCCTGAGGGTCACAGAAGCTCCTGGCAGGTCCCTCCCGCTCCCTGTCCTGGGTACTCCCAGTGGGCCCCTCTTGCTGATCCTGGGTGCTCATGGTGGGTTCCCTCTGGTCCCCATCATCCCATGGGCTGATTCTGGGTGCTCCTGGCAGGTCCCTTTTGCTCATCATCACCCCAGTGGCCAATCCTGGGTGCTCCTGGCAGGTCCCTCCCATTCCTCATCACCCCAGGGGCTGATCCAGGGTGCTTCCAGTGGGTCCCTCTTGCTCTCTATCACTCCAGAAGCTGATCTGGTGTGCTCCTGGTGGGTTCCTTCCACTCCCCATCATCCTGGGGGCTTGGGGACAGGGGCTGCGGACCCCGGGGCAGAGCTGCTCTCCTGTCCCCCACAGCTCCAGAGGTGGTGGGGCGGCAGCGGTATGGGCGGCCAGTGGACTGCTGGGCCATCGGAGTCATCATGTACATCCTGTGAGTGCAGGGTGAGGGCCAGGGAGGCTGCAGGCGGCTGGGGGCTGGAGGCCAAGCTGAGCCCCCTCCCCCCCCCCCCCAGCCTCTCGGGGAACCCCCCCTTCTACGAGGAGGCAGACGAGGATGACTACGAGAACCATGACAAGAACCTCTTCCGCAAAATCCTGGCCGGGGACTACGAGTTTGACCCACCCTACTGGGACGACATCTCGCAGGCGGGTGAGCCCCATGCCAGGGGACACACACGGGGCGCCATGTTGTGTGTGTCTCCCCCCCTCGTCCCGGTTCTGACATCTCCCTGCTGTGCCCCTAGCCAAGGAGCTGGTGACACGCCTGATGGAGGTGGAGCAGGACCAGCGGATCACGGCAGAAGAGGCTATCTCCCATGAGTGGTGAGGGGAGGTGGGAGC